GAAGTGTTCTAAATGTAGTGAATATATACAATCCCCTTACTACGGGTATAATTAGGAGTTTTAAATCTTCTTAAAAAAAATTAGTCCACCGGATGACAATTCCTCACTCACAAATGATCAGTAGTCCCATTCTTAAACCAAAAAATCAACCGATAAGATTGACCCTCATAACTAGTCCGTCAGCGAAATAACCGTCGGGGACCACTATAATCAGTTAACTCGACCTCTTTGCCATTTAACTTCCTTACTAACTTAACAATTAATTCCTTGGGAACTTCCGGATGGTTGATTAGTCAATGGTCGGTTAAAGTAAATTTAGTTATCTTTTGCCCGTTGAAATTTAACTCGCATTCATATTCTCACATTTGTTCCATTAAAGATTAATCTTTTTGCCTTCGGCTCTGGTTACTCTTACTTCTAGGTGCTGAAATAGTTTGCTAGCATACTCCGTTAAACGATCCAAAGTGAATTTATCAATATGACTAAATAAAATATCCTCGGTTTCGGGTAAACTTAACTGTAATTGTTGTGCTAGTTGTTGGCGAGTAAGTTGCTGTTCTCGCTTATAGCGTAAGATATTTTGACATAAGTTAAATTTGGCTACTTGTAAAGGGGTAGCATTAGGAGGTAAGTCATAATTCTCCTCCCCTTGATAATTCGGATCCTCAATCTTTTGTAAATATTTTTCAAATTTCATAATAATTAATTTTACAATATGCCCAACTCACAAGTCTTCTGACAATGACCACAATCCAACAATAAACAAAATCTAGACTGACAATGATTCACCGGCAACGAATGATTATCTACAGGAATTCTAATGCAAAATCATCTACTAACCTTTAATCCTGAGGGGGAAATACAATTATTCCTTACCTCCAATCATCAGGAAGTAGATAAAAAACACTACCGTAGATTTATCAATAAAAGTCCTTACTGAGTAGTTATTCAGAATTACAGAGAGAGAGAAGCACGAAGTTCTGTCAGAACGAGTGTTGTCGGAGACCAGAGAGAGCAAAAAAACATATGCCAAACGCCCAAACTTGACTAAATAATAATTTCCCCCCC